AGAAGAGAAGGAAAGGGGGCGCTGCCCCCCTTCCCTAGTCCAATTCGTACTAGAGGGGAAGGGGCGCGCGGCCCTGCCTTGGCCGATCCTCTCTCTCTCTCCACTAAGGCCCATGTTGGCCCATTAGTCCCCTCGGGGGTTCCGATAACACCCCGGCACTCTGATAATTATCCGATGACCCCCGGAACTCATCCGGTGTCCGAATATAGTCACCCAATATATCAATCTTTATGTCTCGACCATTTAGAGACTCCTAGTCATGTCCTTGATCACATCCGGGACTCCAAACTATCTTCGGTACATCAAAACACATAAAATCATAATACCGATCGTCACCGAACGTTAAGCGTGCGGACCCTACGGGTTCGAGAACTATGTAGACATGGCCGAGGCACGTCTCCGGTCAATAACCAATAGTGGAACTTGGATGTTCATATTGGCTCCCACATATTCTACGAAGATCTTTATCGGTCAAACTGCATAACGATATACGTTGTTCCCTTTGTCATCGGTATGTTACTTGCCCGAGATTCGATCGTCGGTATCTCAATACCTAGTTCAATCTCATTACCGGCAAGTCTCTTTACTCATTCCGTAATGCATCATCCCGCAACTAACTCATTAGTCACATTGCTTGCAAGGCTTATAGTGATGTGCATTACCGAGAGGGCCCAAAGATACCTCTCCGATACTCGGAGTGACAAATCCTAATCTCCATCTATGCCAACTCAACAAACACCATCGGAGACACCTGTAGAGCATCTTTATAGTCACACAGTTACGTTGTGACGTTTGATAGCACACTAAGTGTTCCTCCGGTATTCGGGAGTTGCATGATCTCATAGTCATAGGAACATGTATAAGTTATGGAGAAAGCAATAGCAACAAACTAAACGATCATCGTGCTAAGCTAACGGATGGGTCAAGTCAATCACATCATTCTCTAATGATGTGATCCCATTAATCAAATGACAACTCATGTCTATGGTTAGGAAACATAACCATCATTGATTCAACGAGCTAGTCAAGTAGAGGCATACTAGTGACACTTTGTTTGTCTATGTATTCACACATCTACTAAGTTTCCGGCTAATACAATTCTAGCATGAATAATAAACATTTATCGTGATATAAGGAAATATAAATAACAACTTTATTATTGTCTCTAGGGCATATTTCCTTCACCATTGCCCCGCCACCGCCCGCTCCGGTCCATCTTCCCGGCCGTTCTTCGCCGCCATGGAAGCCTCCAAGCCTTCCCCTGTCACCTTCGAGGTTGCGCACGCGCAATCCCCTTTGGCGGATCTCGTCGTCGTCCATGTCGCCCCCGCCATCGCTCAAGGCACCACCGCGCCTGCCCGCAAGCAGCAGGGGAACGTGGTCGTGTAGGGCGGGAATCCGGTTGGCCCCGCCGGGAAGGCACGCGTGTCGGGCGTCGCCACCGCTATGCGATCTGCCCGGCCGCCGGCGGAGAAGGTGGGCAAGGTTTCAGGCGTGAAGCACAAGAAGGTTCCTACAAAAAGGTCGGTGCCTTCATCCACTCCCTCCGCCCCAGCAAGAGGTTCCCCGGCTATGCCGTTCAACGGCGCTGCTTCCACCGCAGGCAAGATGTTCGATGAAATGACCGAAAGGTATGCATCTTCGATCCCTTCTATTTGCTTCGCTTTTCGCCATTGTGGTAGTTCGTGACTTGTTGTCACTCACTATAGCGGTGGTTCAAACAATGCCACTGTCGAGTTCGTGAACTTGTTGGACACCAACGCCGTCGACATCGATCAAGCCACGTTCGCTGCTTTCGATTACAATGAAATGGAGGGTGGCATGGAGTATCACGGTGGTGAATATGAAGTGAAGGAGGTAGATGAGGGGGCGTATGAGCAAGCACAAGAAAAAAAGCGTGAGATCAAAGAACTACACGATCTTGGAAGATCAAATCTTGATCAAGGCTTGGAGTGTGGTGTCTCTTGATGCTTGCACGGGTACATCTCAAACCTCCAAGAGGTATTGACAAAGAATCGAAGATCAATACTTCCGCATGATGGGGAAGCATCCCAATATGACTCCACGGACCTTTCGGTCACTAGGTCGTTGGGACGTGATCAAGCCGATTTGTAGCCATTGGGCTGCTCGCTTGGAACAAGTTTGCAGTGCACCTCCAAGTGGAACCATGGAATCCAACTATGTGAGTTCGTTTTCATGTCCCAAGTTGTGCGCGTCATTTGTACCATACTAAGTGATTGCATCATTTGACATTGTTTTAATTGTGTAGGACAAAATTTCCCAACAAAGATACAAAGACATGGAAGCTTCCAAAGACAAAAAATAAACTAGAGCATTGTTGGGACTTGCTTAAAGAGTGCGACAAGTGGAAGTTGATTGATAAAGAATCCCCGCCAAAGAGAGGTTCACTTATGAACATGGATGAAGATGAAGATGTTGATGGCCCAAGAAACTTGAACAAGCCCGATGGTGACAAGAAGACAAAGGAGAAGATCAAGAGGGAACACGAAGCATCGAGCTTGCAGGACAAGATAGATGCCATGGTGCAATCAAATGAGTTGATGTTAGTGAAGACATTGGAGACAAAGAAAGAGTTGGCCGAGAAGAAGGCACGAGAGAAGCAAGAGAAGTGGCAATTGCTAAAGGACGAGGGGTTGCGCAAGGCGGCCATTGAGGAGAGAAGAGCACGTGCCGCTGAGAACAAAGTCATGTCCAAGCTTCTTGCCGAAGAGAATAGGATCATGACATTGAACCGCAATGACATGGACGAGATCAACAAAGAATGACATGATATATCAAGGAGAGACATCTTGAAGAGAAGGATGCTTGCGGCGGCCGGTGCATGTTACAGTGCCGGCGATGTTTTCTCATCGGGATTTGAAACAAATGTCGCCGATGCATTCAGTGCGCCCGGCGACGCTTTCGGTGCCGGAGTTGGAACAAGTGTCGGCGATGGATTCGAGGGCCGCGATGGCATCGATGGAGATGGTGCGGAGTGAAGATCATGACGACGGATGAAAAGCAACCAAGATGATGATGGACGTGGTCGTCGCTTTTGCATGAAGTAATTTTGCGTTTGTCGTACCAAACTATGCTTTTATTTGTGCACGAACTATGTTTTATTTTATTCTTTTGCACGAACTATGTTTTATTGTTTGAATTTGAACTCAATTGTCGAAATTGTTGTCAAATTCGCTTATCGGGGTTTTTCGGTTTGCGAATCGACGCGGGCTGCGGTCGAGCAGACCCCACATAGCCGACCCATAAAAGAGCATATTCTGCGAATATCCTTTTTTACGGATCCGTTTTGCGGGCTCTGACTCTCCCGCCGTCCGCATCGACCCACAAAGCCGTTTTTCCGCAAACTGTATACGCGTTTTGCGGGTCAGCATTATATGGGGTGTGCTCGAGATGCTCTAAAAGTAGATCCTTCGCTTTGTTTACTTGGGAGCCCAATACTACTTATTGGTTGGGAAAATTACAACACGCGGTGAGGGAGCCCCTGCAATGCATATGCCCTGTCCACTGAATCCGTCTGGAAACTACCCCCTCCGACCTCCGTCCTATAACATAAAATCGTTTTGCAAACTGCATGGAATGGAGAGAGTATATTTTGCTCGTGGTATTCATGCCTGTCCGTGATAGGCAGCATTTTTCCTTTCAAATCCGATCCACATTTATTACTCTACTGATTTATTACAAGCGCGCATAGTTGTACTGTACTATGTACCGAGTGGGAATATCACGTCGTCCTACCTGAGTTTATTCGCTTGCCAGCTGAGCTTCCAAGCGGTTGAGCAACCAGAGCCGTTCGTCCTCTGAGATATGTAATCCAACGTTGACGTTAGTTAGTAAATAGTGTCCTGAGTCCTGACCCATGGTAGCCAGTATGAAAAGGTCAATATCATTACGGCAGATCATCAGTAGATGTCAATTGATTATTACTACACGGTGTAAAAATAATAATCCGCACAAAGTGAGTTTAACATGATCTTCATTTTTATTTTCATTTGCAGGATTGCACAACATCACTCTCCCGATATATAGTTTTTCGGATGGTGTTTGCCAGGATTTACAGGCTTGGTTTTCGACTGACATTTGGGCTAGAAGAAAGAGCAACCCACATGAAATGCACTTTACAGGCTTGGTTTTCGACTGACATTTGGGCTAGAAGAAAGAGCAACCCGCATGAAATGCACTGACAGTGGAATAATGCATACCCAGAGTGTCATACATTGTACTTTTAAGTTGGTAAAGATGAATCATACTATGGCTTGTCCCAGAGTGGCAGATCAACCACTCATCGTCCCAACTGTCTGCGGTCTGCCAAATCGAATACTCTATCTCTATGGCATTGAACAAACACCGGACAGCTAGGTATTTTTCAGTACCTGTAAGCTGTAGATGAGGGATAGCTGCTGGCTCAAGGCCAATTCTTCTGCCACAAATGACAAGTAGCAGCAGCAGACAACAGATATCAAGTGTGACAACTGACTAAAGCGTGTCAAGTACTCCCTCCGTAAACTAATATAAGAGCGTTTAGATCACTAAAATAGTGATGTAAACACTCTTATATTAGTTTACAGAGGGAGTACTTCATATTCCATAAATCACAATGGCACATATCCATATGTACAATCATCTTTCACCACAGGGCCGTCTACCTTACATGGAAAGATGATGGATATAACAAGAAGCAACTCCATATACAAAATTACTATGCACCATCTGCAAACACCAACCGGACGGCTTGCAAGATGATAAATAAGACCGGCGCACGCTAAAACTAACAACCGGACAAGAGAATAAACCGCATCATCATGTTGCGGGATCTCCAGAAGAAGATTTAGGTTCCATTCATGCCACGAGCTTCGGACTATCAGCAAGACGAGCTGGGGGCTTATCAGAGCATGGAGCTGAGTAACCCAGACAGCGCCACAGCCTACTCTGTGTTTGTTTGCTGGGCGGCATACTCCTGACGTGAAGGCTGCCTGCAGCAATTATCTGAAGTGCTCCTCTAACAACGCAAGCATGTCTTCGTCGCTCGTAGAACGGTCCATTGCATACTGCAATGCTGATCTGCCATCTCGGTCTATGGCATGTGTGTCAGCTCCCCTGCAAAGAAATTGATTGGAAATAATAGGTGAGACATGTCTGTTTTTGGACTTGTGCCGCTCGCCAGATCATCCCTAATAATCTACACTTCGACAAACAAAAAAGAACAGTGGGACAGTTCTCATACTGCATCCAATAATCCTAAAACTGGTTCACGTATTAGTTTTAAATTTTTTAAAAGATGCATTATTTTTCTCTTTCAGGGTACTCTCCAAAACAGGCATCTTTTTTTCGGTTTGCTAGGCCACAATAGACTGAGAGATTCTTAAGTCCCAAATGTACAAGTTGCACTTTTCTGAATTGACTGAGACTAGAGAAAAATTCTGTTGATAGACATAGACGGACTGCATACGAAAGGCAATGATCCTTTTCACGGTCTTGAGTAAGGTCTAAAAATTGGCCATAACTTATCCACAACTCGGTACAGGTGCCCTTATTTTATGAAATTGAAACTATAAGCTCCCCTACTATTGTTTCCACACCATGAAGTGCTGCAGGTAACGTCAAATTCATTTCCCAGTCCGCAGAAACTACATCCCAGCCCTCACCGGACAACCAGGTGGTCTTCCTAGTTGGCAGACAACATATGGAGCAAGATAAAGTGCTGAAGTTGTAAGCAGCTACATACCTGGAGAGCAGCAGCTTTGCATGCAGATGTCTTCCTTTCAAAATACAGTGATGAAGGGGCATCCGACCTCTTGAATCAGACACATTTACACTAGCACCATACTGCAAAAGTAATTCAACCATCCCCACATCTGCAACACGGCATGCAAGATGAAGCAAGGAGAAACCCTCATATCTATCATCCAACTCATCTACATGTGAACTTGTGCTGGGAGGAGAAAGCGACTCTCTAGGAGAAACCTTCTCATGTGAATTGCAATCGAAAAATCTAGGGCTTCCATCAGGTGGTGAAGTTGGCTGCTCTTGTTTAAGTGCTTTTCCAAGATTCAGCAACAAACCAGAAGCCATCTGCCCATAAACCAAATTTACATTGGCGTGTGATGCCACGATGAGATTGTATACTCCTTTCTTGTCATTTGCAGTTACACTGTCCCACATCTGCTGAGCTATGTGAATCTCATCGATACTATGCCTCCATACAAATTCCTTATCAGCATACTGGAACATTTGCACCGAAAGAGCTCAACATATGACAATACGATACATGAAACTGAAGGATAGATATTGACTTTACAAAATGCATTCTAAACCAGCTGACAGGCTATATAAATTCTAGTCCATGCATTATAATGCTCACTTAGCTTCATGGGCATCTCAAACCAAGATCAATGTTAAGGAACTCATAATGCAATTAAAAAAACTTATCTGCAGATTCATAATTTTATTAAACCACAAGCTTTCCTTTTCATTATATATGGAGTTAATGTAGCCACAAAAATCCTGGTGAGTTTACTATTCTACATGGATAGCATCACGGAAGTAAACTTCGATAGTTCACATATAGCATCTGTAGTATAAATGAACTGCATGAAGTGAGTTTACATAACAAGTCAAACGCGATGCAGTTTGTAGGCCACGGAAACTAAATAAAAGCACTTGAAGCAACTTTGTCAATGTGGATACAACCTATAGACAATTTTTCTGGAACTCTGAGGATGCAGCTGTAAAGAACAAAAATATTTGCAAGGTCTTAAAATGATCGGTGGATCGCACAAGTGCCATCTGGCAACTAACCGTGACGGGCAACAACTGTATTTAGGCTAAGAAATGTTCGACTTATAAACTACCATGAATCATTTTTACCCAATCATTTTCCCATCAGGATATCTGGAGACAACTTTGTCCTCAACACTTATTTGCTAATAATGGGAGAAGTGCAGAGAAGCAATTGCAAAAGGACAAATCGCAAGCACCTTGGCATGAATAAACTTCTCTTTGGCAGAGAAAGGATCCGAGTGTTTAGGCTTGGTGGTGGTTAAGTATTGTGCTGCCTGTGATCCATTAGTACTACAAGACAACAAAGTTGCAAGTTAATTTCTGAAAGAACAAAAAAAAGACTGAAGTTTTGTAAAGAAATTCATATTACCTTGTATTATCAACAGAAGAGCCATTGTTTGATGAAGGTAATGTTTCTTCCCAAACTCTGTTCACAAACATGTTGCCTAATGATTGAAAGAGATTGATTACAGATGGCTCCCAGACTCTGACATCGAGAGTCAGAGACCTTACCTGCAAATATGATGTATTTATTTGGAAGTTATGTTCAGTTAATTAGTCATTAGTGACCCTAATGATACCATCAAACACAACTTGCTAATTATGTAATCAAATTTGACTGCAAAATATGCATTGAAAATAGGCAGAGCGCAGACACTAGTAGAAGTATAGGTGGCAATGTACACAGTTACACACACATATATAGGGACACCCAAATAGAAACAATTACTTGTATCATCTTCAAAGAATGGCAGTGTCCTAAAGTTGAATCTCAGCGAGGTCTCCTAAAAAGGATGATGCATGCAAGCCAATACATCAATGACTTAAATAACAGTGCTTGCTATTTTCTGCCATTGTTGACAAAGAAAAAGATAAATTTTGCTCTATTAAGTTTACTGGTATCACATAAAATACTGCAAATCTATATTCAAACCAAAAAGGCATGCTGCCACATTGACTAAATTAAATTTGCATATAAATAATTGCGCATCTGAGAATATCCTTTTAAAAATAGCTATGAGAAAAGGGCATAACTAAAGGCTTTAGAGATTCCAGGTTGGAATTTGGGTCTATATTTTAGAGTGCAATTTTTTAAATCATATATGTAAATGATGGCTCACAAACAAATAGCAGATGCGTAACAGCTATAAGAGTAGTTTCCGGTCACAAAAGCATGTGAGATCATGCACAGGCAAGACACAAGAATGCTGTTGTAGACTTCAAGTTAAATGGAGATGCGGCAACCAATCTATGTGCAATAAGCATGAATATATATAGTAAGTTTTCTTAAATACCTTCGATATATGCACTCCTAGATTTCTGTGTACTCCAGAACACTCTATGCACAGAAGAGCACCGAGGTTTAACGACGCCCAATCAGGTTCCGCAGCACCACAATCAGCACAAATAGTATTACCATCAACCCTCCTAAGCAAGTCAATTGGTTTTTCGGGTTTGATATTGGTCCTGTGATGATGTTGTCCATTTCCAGTGTTCTTTTCCAGTGTTAAATCTTCACTTGTGGAGGTTTCCAGTTCCACTGAACTAGTATAGGAGCTACTCTCACTAGCGCTCCGATCATGGCCGCAGCTCCTAGGGCTGTGCAGACACTGAAACATAACATCATGATAAATTGAATTGAAGCACATAAATAATCCAACTGGAATCATCTAATCTAGACCATTATTAACCTGTTCTGGGGATTGTGCGTTCAGCAAAGATGCAATGACACCAGTAATTTTTTCGATCCAATCCATCTGATCTAGAGCACTCTCTGCCTGTATAAATATCAGATGATGTCACTAAAGTAGCAAACGTGTATATTCAAAATGAAAACTGTATTGTCTGCAATTTTGTGCATCTACCTGCAATGTGTAGATCTTCATGGGTGAAATAATTCTGAAGCAGAACCTCAGATCTGATTGTTCTGCATCGACTTTAATGGTTGATGTCAGCAAATTTACTGTATGCCGTGCAACAGATTTCTCATCATGTATACCATGGTAATGAGAAGAGAACAATCTGCTCAGCAACCCTGAACCATGTTCAGGGGTATTGTTGGTTCTTTGAACTTGACTAACACCCTGATAAGATCATAAGTGAAAGTTGAGGAAAGGGGCCAAGCTGAATTGTATCATACATGTACAAAATCATGCTGAATGCATGATGATTTCAAGGGAAATGTTACGAGGGGGACCTACAGCTGGCCTATTAATTTGCTTGCGATAGTAGTACAACATCCCTCGACTATCCAGAACAAAAAACCTTCTTTTCCAGTCACCTCTCAAGTTTGATGATCTCTTTGAGAGGTAACCTTGACGAATGGTCTGAACCTGAAAATTAGTACATCATATATAAACCCCGTCCTTGGAGCTATAGGACCTTCATGTATGCATGAATCTTCAATTTCCAGTCGAGAAAAGAAATGTTACCTTGCCTTTTGTGGATGACTGCATCACTGCTTCAATCATTTTATGTGAACTTCTACCGATTGTTTGTATGCCATCTACATTAGGGGAAACATTTAAACCATTCCCAGATGACCGACTATCACGCTCTATCTGTTTTTTGTACTCATGCATCCTCTCTAAAAGAGAAGCTTGTTCCTTGTTTGCTCTCTCTCTTGATTGCTGCGAATAGGCGAGAACCTGCAGGACAATCCAACCACAAGTTAGTGATAAACTGCCTTCTTGACTTCATAATATGGAATTCGTACTTTACCACTAAGTAGGATGTTGATCTCTCATTGCAAAACACAAGCATTGGCCAACTCTACTGATATTTTAGTTGCAAAACAATGTTTCCAATGTCCTTAGGTGCACAGCAATACCAGGACATAACCAACTTCGATTCAGTGTTGTCATCATGATTTCTCATTACCAACAGCAATACCAGCCTAGGCAAGCTACCAATAAGGCACACAGGGCACAAACAAATGGGAGTGCAAGCCCCATATACTCCCTCCTTTCCGGTTTATAGGGCTTATCTCAAAGTTTTAGTTTTTCCATTTTATAAGGCTCAATTTGGTTGTTCCCCATCACAGGTTCAGATTCCAAGGTGCATTAAATCATCGCATGCAAGTATTAATAGAAAATTGACCAATGCATGTACTTTATGCATGCATGCATTGCAACTAATGCATTGCTAAACATAATTTTTTGAGGAAAACAAGAGCATTAATTGGGTGCTTTTGCAAACTACAAAAAGTATTCCACCACTCACCATCTACCTTGGTCGGTGAGATTTTTGAATTGAGCCCTATAAACCAGAAAGGAGGGAGTAGAAGACAAGGCACAAGGATGGTGAAAGATGCTTCTTTTTACCAGGAAACTGTAGGAGGGAGGCCCCAACAGTAAATTTTATTGAAAGAGCATATAATTACAAGAAGAGAGAATGATGAATGATGCACTAGAATACTATGTGTGTGATTGTAGGGCGCATATCTGAAACTGCAGGGCTTTGACGCACGGATCTAAAGTGCAACAAGAGCTGGGATAGATCATAGATGGTGTGCCCAATGAAAAAAATCACACTCTCCGTGTGCCAGGATTATGTAACAGCCAAAAATCATTCATATACCAAAAAAACGACCTGAAGGGGTATTTTTTATGCGAGACCCAGGCTTTGAACCCAGGTCGGCCACCTCACTACAGGAGGCGTTACCATCGCGCTATCAACATATTCACAATTCAAACACCAAAAAAGACTAGGGAAATTGTATTAAGGAGGGAGGCATGGTTTAAGGTAACCTGATTAATATAGGGTTCCATCTGATGCAATAGTTCATATCCCTGCATGAATGGCAACAGATAAGATTAATCATTTTGTAGCAAAATATAGCATCACGAAGAGGATTTTTTTTAAAGGCGCTACTTGTTTAAAATATCGGAGGTGTGAATCCATTGTCGCACTAACAGCCTCCAAAAATTCAAATCTCTTCTTTGCCTCGATATGCGAAATTGCAGTCACCTGAAAATTCAAAGAGGTATAGGAAGCGATGGCATGATATGCATTTAAACATACATATGAAATCACAAGAGCAAAGTTAAGGCCAACATTTCACATACCAGGTTGAAACGAGCTTGCTCAAATGAAGATCTAGCACTATGGAGCTCCTGATACAGGCCAAGTGTAGGTCAGATAGAGGGGAAACACTGAATTACCTCTTATCATACAAGATTGACAGAAAGGTATTTACTTCTTCAATGGCAGTTGTTATGTCTGCTCTTGTGCCTTTCTTCAATGATAAGTATTTCTCGCGAATCTAACAAAGCAATTAGCAAGTCAATAACATATTCTCTCAAAAAATTACATAACTAGCAAAGCAAACTACTGCAAAGTTTAAAATATGGCAGAAAAAAAGACAGAAAATTAACCATAAAATAACAGTAAGGTTAGCTAAGAGAAGTGCATATATAACCATTCCAACATCAGTTAATTGACCAGAAACAATCAGAAACCGCAAACAAGTATTATTGGCTGATGAAAACTGGAAACTTGTTATATCCAAGACAAATATTGACGGCTGAAATAAAGTCCCAAGAAAATATAAAGAAAACCTTGCATCATTTTGATCACTACAAGGCAAAGGAGAATCAGAATTGCGTTGAGAATACGAAGGCATCATAATTATTATCAAAAACGTTTCCACGATAGCTTTAGAAACACACACTTCATTTTCCCTCTCTTTTTTCACATTTTGGGTAATAGACATATTGATTAACTTACCTGGTCATACACGAGGCTAGCCTTGTCAAAGCGCTTCCGGGCATCCTGGTTAAATTTATGAAGCAGGAAATTATTTCAAGGACTAGTTCTTGGTACAAACTTCTAAGATTCGGTGTTAGCAGAAAACAATAATGGTACCTTAACGTCATGCAAATCAACGTCTACAAAGTTTAGCAATCTGTCATTTAGCATATGCTCAACCTGCCAGGAAACTGAATCAGAAATATACCACCTTAGGTACACAAAGTGTGTTTGACCATGAAATGAGAGCATTTGCATTTTCACTAATGTAGCATCACATTTGATACGGATTTCCAAACAAAGCATTATATATAGAAGCTTGTAATGGTTCTTGGGGGACCAAGTTCTAACATCAAAGTCATGTAGGATGAGTAAAAAAGGAAGCAGCAAAGAATGTAGTCATTCCAATAACTAGATAAGTAATATAATAGTTATTTTCCATTAACATCATCAAGTGCATGTTGACCAAGTGATCCCTGTTTTTTTTTCTGGTAGCGATAAGATATTACAACTGCAGCTTATGCTGTTCACTGACCAAAACATCACAAGTATTGGGGAAAGACATCAGGCCAGCAATGTAACATCACACAAAATGAGCAGCAAATTTAAACCAAAATTCTAGTCAATTTGATAAGCAACGCATGCAGAATTGAAGAGTGAACATAATGCATTGTTCGAAAGCTTCAAACAATGCTTATATAACAAAAAAAAAGATGTGGTACCTGGGATCGCAGGACTTCCTTATATGTTCCTATTTCTCTCAGGGCAATTGTAAATTTGTTCATGACAGGTCCTGTAAAGAAGATGAATTGTGTATTCTTAGTCAAGGGAATGTCTACACTCAACTTCTCTCAGCCCCTATATGAGGCAAAGTTTTAAATAGCCGGCTATAGCCACGCTATAGCGGTTTGAACAGGGTTCTGCCAAATGGTATTCATGTACAATTGCAGATATAGTTACAAAATAGCAGGCTATAGCCCCGCTATAGCCATGCTATAGCTGTTTGAGCAGGGTGCCGCTATTTAAAACTATGATATGCAGAGAAACATGCAACCAGAATTCCAGATAAGCATTGTGTGGCCTCCCTATTCAATTTTCATTCTATCAATCATAAGGGCTTAGTTAGAACATGCTCAATTTGATACTCTCTTTGTAAAGTCAGAACTTAAATAAAATATAAAATAAATACCACGTAGATAGAAACAAAGGATGGCATGAGTGTAAAGACAAGAAACTGAGAGCATACAGAGAAATTTCAAAGGCAACGAAGAAAACAAAGCATAAGTGAGTGACGTTGATGAAGAAGTTTTCTCAGTCATACAAGCAGATCATTCAGTACTAAGCAAAACATATCTTCAAGTACGATATTTTTAATAGAATAAATGACATGATGAAAGATATCGAGAGAATAACATGACTCACCGCCGAAAGCAACACTGATTGGGTCATTGTGGCCTCCTCCAAATGTCTCAAGTGCGCTTGCAAATGCAATATCTCCATCATAAGCTTCACCTAGCCCTTCACTGAAACAAATCACAGGTGTGTGTATTAATTTATCTACATCTGGCACAGGCTGGGGCTGAATGCGTTTACATAGCAGTTTTATGTTATTGGGATAGTGAATTACAGTTGAAGACTTGAAGTGCTCAACCATACATGTGTCAGGTAGAGTGAACAAAAGAAAATGAATGAGATCCAAATGAAAACTCACGTATACTTGCGGCAACCTTTATGAAACTTCAAGCACCTCTCTCTTAGTACTTCAGCACTTTCTTCAAGTGATTGTATCTGTTTGTCGAAAGGTCAAGAGAAGATAAAGGGTTGGTCATGAATCAAGGGAAGTCAAAAGAGAGAGCAAGGTTTCGTTCATGAATGAGTAAAATTCATTCGTGAATGTGGTAAGCAGAACAACTAATAAGGCATTGGGGCATCCAGCACTCTACCTTTCGTACCAATCACTTGGACCCAACGTCAAAAACATAAGCAGTTCCTAGTACAAATTTCTAACGAACTGGAGGACAATCAGATCTGTGCATTTCTTTGAGGCAAAGATTTTGTCTATATTTTCAGCGTATTCAAAAGTATTTCGGATGTTTCCTAATACATTAACTAAATGGTAGAATATGTTTATTCTTCCAATGGATTCAAATAAAACTACTATAGGAAGTGGTATAGGTGTATGTCAAACTGTCAAACTTTATGGGCTGACATAGACTGCACGCCTGGGAAATAAACAAAAAAAATAAATTACAGTTAATGTTAATCTAATGATGAAATGCAATTTTCCAAATAAAAGCCGCAGCTCCACCAACAAAATCGTCATGTCAACTTTGACAAAATCACACCGGTGTCAAACTAGAGCATATGTATTGAACAATCTGCACATCAATACAAAGAGTATTGTTTCCTCCAGAAGATAGGCTAACTCGAAACCATCCGCTACAGGGAAAAGAAACTGATGAACGACCATGGAAATTCGACATACGACAGTGAAATCGGCACACACATGCGCCAACCTGGTAATCCGAACCAAATTTCAACTCAATGAAGTAGATTTGCTTGCCCGATAGCATCAGAAGGATGTTTAAGACCCACGCGCTCCACGAAATTATTCTAAGCACATGGCCGCGCATATTAAAATCAGTGAGATGCGGCGATAGAAACACACGCAGCAAAACCAGCTTCACGCGACAATAAAGACATGCAGAGCCCAAATCACGGGTAAGAGAACAGCTTTACTCGCGCATTCACCAGAAACTGAAGGGAAAAAAACAAGAAGGCGAGCACCACTCCAACAACTCAATCAAATCAAAGATAGAGCATGCATTCCCCCGACCCGTTCGCGGCAACGCCGAGCTGCCAATGGCATAGACATGAAACTCTCGGAGGACACGCGACACCCGTTGTCCCGGCATCCCAGAGAACGAGATCCACCCGGCTCACCTGCGTCCGGAACATGGGCGAGTCATCGAGCCTGGCGAAATACATGGCTGCCGGCCTGCCTGCATGCAACCGCCGCCGCTGCTGTTCCCCACCGTCCGAGCACCTCCTACCTCCTCATCCACGCCGCCAATGCCGCTGCCTCGAACCCTAGCCTGAGCTCGGCCCTGTCGTGCGCACGCCCACCTCCTCGTAGCCGCGCCCGCCTGGCCACCGCCGGGAGCCGCCGCCGCGTCGACGCCAGGGGGGGAGGAAAGAGGAGGGGAGGGGAGCGCGTGCGCCACGAGAGTAGCCGGGATTAGCGAAATGGCGGCGATTTGGGTGGGGGAGAGGGAGGGAGGGGAAGGGGGGGGAGGGAATTGGTCGGGTGGCTCGGCGAGAAGAGAGGGAACGAGGAGGGAATAGGAAGGGAGTGAGTGGAAATAACGGTGCGCTTTTCCTTTAAACTTTTTCTATTTTATTACTGTATTAATCTCTTCTCTCTCCCTCTCTCTCTCCTACTTCGCCAGAGAGAGAGAGGTGAGGTGGAATTCTGTTTCTTGTGATAAAATAATTGCAATAATATGATTTAGGGCCTCTTTATTTGAAATGATTTTCATGTGAATTTTGGAACCCTTAGAAAAAATATACGATTGTTTTTTCTAAGGATTCATTTGCGTTACATTTTTTCATAGAAAATTTTGTATCTACTAATCTCTTAGAAACAATGTTTTTGCTTTTTCCTATGGTGCAGTCAAACTAGCGAAAATCATGTAGTAGCCAAATAGACATAACATTACAATCTTGTGTTATTTCTATTCTTAGTTTTTAGAGTCCTGTGAATCAAGTAGGCCCTTGGGAATAGAATAGACGACGGTTCATAAAAAGCAATTGAACGAAATTAAGGTGACATCAACTAGGAAAGGCGGTTTGCCGATTCATATTGATACGGAGAAGAGTGTGCTTAATGGATGACAAAAAACATGTACCATGACACGAGAACGTTGTAGTTTGAACGCTGCAGACATTATCATACATCAGGTTGTGTTTGGTTTGAGGTTGAGCCGAAGCTAATCTACCAAGAAATTGGGTTACTAATATTTTAGGTAAGGTATTGGTTGTTCATATTTTTAGCCAAATACTGGTAGAGATAAAATGATCCAAAAAATGGCATTCGTCCAAGAAAGAGCCAAAACTTGGTAGTGTCTTGTTTGTTAGCACACTGAATACTACACAAAATTGAAATGCGGATAATATGCGATAGATGTTGTGCAACACATGAAAGAAACAAAGATTTTCATAAGAATTGGTTGCTTCTCTTAGTAGTGATCAAAACAAAAAAAATAGTTCAACATGTTGAAAAATGAATATGTTATTAATCTTACAAACGTAACAAGCTATGCATGAAAAACTCTAAGGTTTCGTTTGGATATTGATATTCAAAGCTATGGAGTTGTATTGGTCCCAGTATCAAAACTCCCTCACTTGGTATTGACATTGATCCCAATTTTGTTAGTTTGGGTGTTCATAGAATTGACACTTGGAATTCGCATGAGAGATTTAATTCTTAAGCTTGTTTGGATGGTCATTCTCTACATTGGAATTGCTCATTTCTCATATTATGGACATTGTACTTTGATGTAATATTTAGAACTAAATTCTATGCAATATGTGAACATATCTGTGAGTGATCATATATCAATAATACAACTAGTTCTGTTGGTTGTGCTGCATTTTCAGCACCTGACATTACATCTTCAGCGGTTGCATGATCTTTCGAGTAATTGTGCAGAATGTCGCACAATTCTTCACTTCTTTGTTCTTGTAACAAGTTGCTTTCTCATTGGCATGGACACATGTACATAGTAAATCAGATGCATGTATATATCATATAGAATAAGAATATTTAACATTCTTCTATCCATGAGTAACTTATTATTAACCCAATCCCAAACAAATCCACTCTGAGATGGAATCTTGATAATCATTCTTAACGCTTGTCAAAAGTCTTGCACCTTGAGCGTATTATCTCTTGTGTGATGTCCAGTCCACACTTAAAATGCAGACATTCAACCTAAAATGTTTGGAAATTTTGGGCATGATCACCTCTGTCGTGATGTTCAACAAGGACATCCAACAATGCACTATCCATCTCATTTGTATGTGTCAAGTAATTCCTACTAAATTACTTTTTTTAGCCATGGTGCAACAAGTAAAAAATTGTAAAAAATAGTTGGCAAACAAAAGAGAATATACCAATTGTTTTCTCATGATGATGATCTACAAAATATCCAAAAGTCATCATTCAATAGCTATGCAAAAAAAGAGCATATTATCTTGCTAAGTCATCGTCTAGCTAGCACAAAAGAGAACACATCATCTTCCTAACTCATCATCTTGATAGCACAAAAGAGAACACATCATCTTGCTAACTCACCATCTAGTTACCTCAGAAGAGAACACACCGTCTAGCTAATCCACATGTCATACTATAGTTGAAAATCTGCATTCGTCACACGATAATTAGCGAACATGTTGTGAGATAATTGGTTCCTGAAGTTGGTCCGCTAATTAGTGACATGAACACTTCCAACTATCTTAGCATCATCAACATTGATTGACTAAGGAGCTAGTTCCTTATCCACTTCCTGCAACAACAGGTATGCCCTAGAGGCAGTAATATTGTATCATTTTATTTCCATGTTCATTAAGAGTTTATATTCCATGCTATAGCTGCTATGTTCCTGGAATATTAAATTTAGTGGAAAACTAATATGCACGTGTAGAACAATAAATGATAAAATAAAATTCCTAGTCTCGCCTCTAAGACTGGCTCAAGTGTTGTTAGTGATCATATTTTCCGGATCTTAGGATATCGTTAATTGCAACAATAGTCCTAAAAAACATGGAGAGTATGACGTTATAAGAACGATCATATTGAATCGACCCAAACTTGTTTATTATACTTTGAGATGACATCGTCACAAGTCAATTGTTATAATACGGAGTGTTAACATGTCTTTTAGTTCCTTAGACCATGAGAGTATCGTAGTCACTTCTTACCATACGATGAGCTTTGGGGCTGCTCAAACGTCATCTGTAACACGGTGATCATAAGGACAACTAGCAAGTCCATCGGAAAGTCTGACAAGGGACTAGATAGCTCGAGAGTGGAATTTGCTCCTCCGATGATGGAGAGATATTCTTAGGTCCCTCTCGGTGTGATGGCATCCATCATCGCCTGTCTAGACACAGGTGACTATGTCACGGGGATGTCGGAACACGTCAACGAGAAAGAAGAACAAAACCGGCAACGAGGAGATCGGTATAGTGAGCATGTGTATAACTCAAGAGGATACCGACACATCTCACCTCGAGTTTTGTAAAGTATCATGAAGCAAAGGGAACATCACATGATAACCTAAGGTTCACTTGAATGTCATTTGTGTACTCATAGGGATCGATATGGACGTCCATGGTTCTGTTATCGGTCACTGGACAAAGGGATTTTGTTCATGTCTATGTTTTACTGAACCTATAGGGTCACAAGCTTAAGGTAATCATGATCTGATGAGTATTAGTAGAACAAGGGTAACAAGGAAATATTTGTGAAATAGTTTCATTCATATTTGAAATAGTTTCGAGATGAACCGGAAGCGTTTCGGGGTCACCAGAAGGGTTTTAGAATTTATCAGGCAATATCAAGTATTACCAATAAATAATATATATATATAGGTGGAAAATGTTTCAGGGGATGTTAAATTAATAATAAAATGCTATACTATATTTACTCCCTCCTTCCACTTATATGTTGGGTAACGTAGTAATTTCAAAAAAAAAAAAACCTACGCACACGCAAGATCATGGTGATGCATAGCAACGAGAGGGGAGAGTGTGATCTACGTATCCTTGTAGACCGACAATGGAAGCGTTAGCACAACGCGGTTGATGTAGTCGTACGTCTTCACGGCCCGACCGATCAAGCACCGAAACTACGGCACCTCCGAGTTTTAGCACACGTTCAGCTCGATGACGATCCCCGGACTCCGATCCAGCAAAGTGTCGGGGAAGAGTTTCGTCAGCACGACGGCGTGGTGACGATCTTGATGTACTACCGTCGCAGGGCTTCGCCTAAGCACCACTACAATATTATCGAGGACTATGGTGGAAGGGGGCACCGCACACGGCTAAGAATATGATCACGTGGATCAACTTGTGTCTAGAGGTGCCCCCTTGCCCCCGTATATAAAGGAGCAAGGGAGGAGGAGGCCGGCCCTAGGAGGGGGCGCCCCAAGTGTGGAGTCCTACTAGGACTCCCTAGTCCTAGTAGGATTCCACCTCCCATATGGAATAGGAAAAGAGGAAGGGAAAAGGAGAAGGAAGGAAGGGGGCGCCCCCCTTCCCTAGTCCAATTCGGACCAGACCAAGGGGAGGGGTGCGGCCACCCTTGAGGCCCTTTTTCTTCTTTCCTGTATGGCCCAATAAGACCCAATACGTATTCCCGTAACTCTCCGGTACTCCGAAAAATACCCGAATCACTCAGAACCTTTCCGATGTCCGAATATAGTCGTCCAATATATCGATCTTTACGTCTCGACCATTTCGAGACTCCTCGTCATGTCCCCGATCTCATCCGGGACTCCGAACTCCTTCGGTACATCAAAACTCATAAACTCATAATATAACTGTCATTGAAACCTTAAGCGTGCGGACC